TATCAGATGATCAAGTTAAAGAGCATAGATTCTGTAATTTATGCATTGTTCTCTGCATGACCTATGTTTAAAAATCACTCATCATTAAATTGTTAGGTAAGCCAACAATGTGTGCTGCAAATTAGTTTTCAAGATTGTCAAAAATGTAAATTGATTACATTATGTACTTATTTGTATTGCATCATTAGCTACTAATCGACTTTGAAAAAAAAGATATATATATGTTACTGTGACATTGTAATGATACCTTAGAATAGAAGTCTATAATATATTGTAATTTCTAGAAAATAGATAACAGAAAATCATTGAAGGCCACCGTTTCACCATTTTCCGGGATTGATTTGGGTGTTGAATAATAGTCATAAATAGTTTTCAGAAGTTATAGAAATGTACAAAAATTTGATCCTTTCAAATATACCTTAAACTAGAAATTTCACTTTCTATTTTTATATATATATATGTGAAGTTTCAAGAGAAGATGAGTCATTTAGTTTTCAAATGCGGATAATTCTGGACATACATGGATTTGAAGGCTTAAATTTCAATGGTGAGCTGTGATATTATTGATGATAAGCTTGGCTAAAAAAAAATTCCCACTTCTGAGAATATGGTACGATTGGTCAAACAGAGGGTGAATCTGTCCCTTTTAGCTTTGATTTCCTAGGTACTGAATTTTCCTTTATTTCAATTTTTGAATAAATCAACTGATCACCAGTTGAGAAAAAAACACCAATAACCGTAATGTAAGATGAATAATTATATCAAAATTCAATGAATGTTATAATTAATGGGAAATATATGAAAGAAAATTCCAGAAGCTGCAACATACAGTTGGTGATATTTTCCATAGACCACAAGCTTATATAGTAATTGGTAACATTACATCATCATTAGAGAGTGGAGGTATTTAGCAGTTAATGTGAAATAGTCAATTGAAATTTAACTAGTAAGGTGTGCTATCTTAGTCAACTTTAGTCTATATACTATAGCTTAGTTTGAGAGATTTTCAATAGGTCACCAGTCGACCTGTATTTTGTGTCAGCTGGATTAAGATGAGGATTGTAAATCTGATACTAGCCTAACCTACCCCTGTGTTAAAAAAACAGCAAGACCTGAACCATTGTCCTAGTAGTGAATAGCTCATCACCTAGGTAATTAGGCTGTACTAGACAAGTAAACAATGCCAGGCTTTATGTAAGGTTATGTGACACCTATGGTATTTCTGCTCTGTGTGAAATTTTTTTTTGTCAAAAGAGAAAAGAATTCTCGGCCCAAAAACTGCAAATCATTTAATGAAAGGCTGTGCTTGAATTAAATGGAGCTCCCTATTATACTATTGCTAGATTGGTTTTGACAGGAAATTTTCTTCAAAAGTATATGTTGTTTTTAATTGATAAAAGTTTTCTTAGTGAAGTCTTTTTTCAAGGAAAAGTGTAGGATGGTTCAGGTATTAAAATATGGGTTTGCCATTTTGATGTGAAAAAAAAAAAATAATATGTAAATTCCGAAAACGGGATTTCAGATTTGAATTAGCTGGAATAAATTTAGTTTTAGTAAAATAAAAATGAAATACATATATCCTATGGTTTAAAAATTGTTATATTTATACTAAACTTTTTTACAAAAACCCAAGTTCAGGAAAAAGTTGTAGAATATTTTGTGATTGATCATTAGAGGTGTAGAAACACTAATTAAGATTTTCTGTTAATTAATAAAAAATAGTCTAGGTTAATCAGTTCGTTACATTAAAATATGTGTTGTGTTTAAAAGAAATCGACCAAGTTAGAAAAAAAAAGCGTTTGTATTAAAGGTGTTTAGTATATGTGGTATTAAACGCTATAAAGTTATCTGTGTAACCTGACCACACCATACAATAGACAAGCCCATTTTAACTATATAACATAGACATGTTGACTGCCAATAAGATGGGCCAAGTGAGATAAGAAAGTAAGAGATCTCAGCCTACATAACTAGCTAGGCTATACTAAATACACTCGTAGTTGATTGTACCCTTTTCTCTTACACTCTCAATTAAAGTCAACTTCTAACTTAATAAAAGAAGGTCAAATTAAAGGGGTAGTGTGCACCTTCATATAGATATTGGTCTCCCAATTAATATACTAACATTGTTAAAACAATATTTTTTTTCTCCTGATTTTAGACTGAAATATGTAAATTCCAAAATTTACCAAGAATGTGGTGCATACCCCCTCTTTAAAGATTAAACAGAATGTTAATGTAATATTGGAATCTAAATTGAAGGATTCTATTAAAAAATTTACTATTTTGCTAGTAACTGCTTTGATTTCACAGGACCTTCCCTTTAAAACTAGAGTATACATTAGTATATTAGTAGTATTTCTACAGTGGATAATTAGCTAGTACCAGTCAAACCTTAATCAAAGAGACCCAGAGCAACTTTGATCATTTTTAAAAGAGATACTGGTATAGATATTTTAATCAGTCTCAAGGTGAGGTGTCCAGTTGGCAATATACAGAAGAAAATAAAAGAAGTATGGAACATGGTTTTGGAGTTCGCAACACAATGCTTCTACTACTGCACCATATTCAACACCAGACACCATAGTTGTCTATTTGTACCTTTAGCCCACATCTAGTATGTTTTTAATGACATTGACTCAGCAACTATTTTATGACAAGATTGGTCGGCTCTTGAGAAACCTGTCTTCATGTTTATGAATAAAGAATTTAATTTCTGTGGCAGTCTAGTTTGTTTTGGTTAATGTAAACAAAGTACATGGACTTTGAAAAGTCAAATATATTCCACTTTAGAAGAATCTTCCTCACTCTTAGTGACTGATATGCAGCTAGTGTAGAGTCAGAACACTGTGTCATTATTTTTTTTTAGAGCTTTCTGCGCCTCAATATTGGAAATAATGATTGAAAATGCTTAATTAGGATCTTAGGATAATTCGAAGCTGACCCAATTCTATTTTAAATAAAAGATTTTTTCTTTTGCTTGTGTATTTTTCAATGTAGAAAATACTGAATACATGTACAAATATGGTACAAATACTCTTGCCATTCTAATATTTCAATGAATACAATAAATTGATGATATAATTTGAGGTAAAGTATTTTGCTCCAATTTAGCACGTTTCAGTATAAAAAAAAGTAGTTGAAGATGTTGTTAAATAGAAATCTATCTAAACATAGCCTACACCTACTCAATTGTACTTCAATGAAAATACACTGAAGAGTATAATGTTGTAATGGTGGGTGAAAAATTTATCCTGGCCTAAAGTCTATCTGTAGTTTAATGTTATGGAGCCAGTAAGACTAGGTAGAACAGTTATATATCTAGACTTGTCAATTCTAATATTATACCTACTTTACATTACTGGCTTTTACCTCATACCAGTCCACCTATCACATTCTACACTTGTCCTCTCTATAATACACAAGATGTCTTGACAGCAAGGCAGTCCGCCTGCTCTCATTGACATAGCAAACCTAGCCTGTGAAGCCATCTCTCCCCATTAATGTAATGTTTTTTAAAAAGATAAATAGACTATAATGTAATTGTTTTAAACACCATTCTTATGACTCATAGCTCTACTCATGAAGTTGTTTTTTTTTTTCTTACAACATGGTTTATTTGTGAGAACCTAAAGCTTTAACATTTAAAATTATCCCAGTTTTGGAATTGCTTGATCTCCGTAGAATTTACCGTCAGACAGCAAGACTGGCCAACTTTGGTTCATAGCGTCCTACTGGAGACAAGATTTTTCTATTTATTAAGAAAATAACTATAAACATGTCTTGAAATTTATGTACTCTTAACGTGTAGAAACGTAGTTTTGACTTCTGCCAATATATAAAGATGCAAATCAGGCACTCATCATATTACATTGTAAAAGGGCACTTGACAATACGAGAATAGTGGAAAAAACCAATGTACAAGAAAATAGAACACTTAAAATATTGTTACAATTGAAAACGGAGGATTGTTGAGTACAAATAAAGTTGTGTCAATATTTCCATTCTTTTTTCTCAAAGGTTTTATGTATGATATTTTAATGCATATTCACACATCTTTGTTTTTAAATGCTCTAAGTAAATATCAGCTTAGGTTGTCGAAAACACTCCAATTTTTAGTCCTTTTTGGTTGACAAATGTCAAATGTTCTTTATATCAACTTGCTGCACTGACTTGTATCTCCCTGATGATGTGTATCTAATATGGACTTTTTATTATTATGAACTATATTTCATGATATTTTTGGTGCAAATCACTCTGAACTAAAGCCTTTAAGAAATGAACAATTGCTTGAATTTCAACCACAAATTTTATGAAGGAAACTTACACAAAATAAGATGGTATCAATTACCCCTTGGTTGGGCTCCTTGCTGTTATTAATGTTTTATATTCCACTAAAGTTGGGCTCCTTGCTGTTATTAATGTTTTATATTCCACTCAAGTTGGGCTCCTTCTTGCTGTTATTAATGTTTTATATTCCACTCAAGTTGGGCTCCTTATTGCTGTTATTAATGTTTTATATTCCACTCAAGTTGGGCTCCTTCTTGCTGTTATTAATGTTTTATATTCCACTCAAGTTGGGCTCCTTGCTGTTATTAATGTTTTATATTCCACTAAAGTTGGGCTCCTTCTTGCTGTTATTAATGTTTTATATTCCACTCAAGTTGGGCTCCTTGCTGTTATTAATGTTTTATATTCCACTAAAGTTGGGCTCCTTCTTGCTGTTATTAATGTTTTACATTCCACTCAAGTTGGGCTCCTTCTTGCTGTTATTAATGTTTTCTATTCCACTCAATTTGGGCTCCTTCTTCCTGTTATTAATGTTTTATATTCCACTCAAGTTGGGCTCCTTGCTGTTATTAATGTTTTATATTCCACTCAAGTTGGGCTCCTTCTTGCTGTTATTAATGTTTTATATTCCACTCAAGTTGGGCTCCTTATTGCTGATATTAATGTTTCAATTTTCTTGTCTTTTCAGATAGTTCAACAACTGCACCAAGAGGTCCTCACTGGTGTTCTATAGCCTATTGGGAACTTCGACAGCGTGTTGGACGATTATTCACTGTTTTTAACCCAAGCATTAGTGTGTTTCAAAATCTACCTCATGGGGATGGCATGAGCCTCGAAATACTACAAAATAAACCCAATTTAGAATCTGTGAAACGGACGAGAGAAAAAATTGGATTTGGAATAATTCTAAGTAAGGAAGCAGATGGAGTTTGGGTGTATAATCGCTCATCATATCCTATATTTGTGAACTCTCCCACCTTAGATGATCCTGAATCAAGAACGTTAATAGTGCGGAAAGTTTTACCGGGTTACTCAATCAAAATCTATGACTTCGAGCTGGCAAAAGAGCTGGAACTCTCTAGAGATCCTGCATTACTGGATGGACCGTTCGATCCTTGTTCAATACGCATCAGCTTTGCGAAGGGCTGGGGACCGTTTTATTCTAGACAATTTGTGACTTCGTGTCCATGCTGGTTAGAAATATTATTAAATATAAAAAGGTGATAGTTTGTAGATTCACGGTAGATTTTTTATATCAAATTATCATCCTTCTATGACAAATTCAGGGCATTGGATATCAAAATGTAATTTTGGAATCAGGGCTACACAAAGTGATGTGATGACGAAAATGCTCCTAGTGCAGTAGAAAACAGCATGGTGATTTATAAGATGTATAAATTTAATACGTTATGTTGACGAACAATTCACTTGTTGTTAAAGTGAACAGACTAAATCTTGGTTAGTGCTGAAATATATTATATATATATAATGATATTTAATTTTGGTGCCATGGTGTGGAGCCTACAGATTTCACCATTTTTCATTTTTACTTTCTCTACACCTAAAACACAATATAGTGCCTTGTTCCATACGATAACTCAATGATTTCAAGCAGGATTCAACAACACTACTTTTATCAGAAACCAAACCTGAATTATAAACATAGACACATACAATGTCTGTTTCTCTCAAAAATTCTTTTGATTAGAGTTTATCCCTAGTACCTAATTCTGAAATGAAATAAATGAAGTTTTACATCCTACTTTTCTGCACCAGAGTGAACTTAGACCATATCTTAAGATTTTTCAGAAAAAAAGATCGAGGAAAGTTAAGGCCTTTTATTACTTTGATAGAGAGATATTATCAAATTATCTTTCCCCCGTATCAAGTAGGCATTCTTATCCAGTCTTTTCCAAATTCCTTTTATTATGACTTCGAATTCTTCTGATTTCAAATTTTCTCCAAAATGAATTGAAAGTGGTGTTGTTGTGATCCTACATCCTTACAAAATATTATTCAATTCAATTAAGGGATTTAATGCAATTAGATTATTTAAAATTTGTCAATCAGTTATACCTCCATTTATTAACTAGATATAACTTCAGATAGAATGTTAAAATGATAGTTAAAGATCTTGAAAGAATAATTAAGCATATATATAATGAAAAATCTTTTTTCTCTTTGAGTTATAATTTAGATCATGGTTTTTTTTTTTACCATGGTTATCAAAATTTAGTTACCATACTTAATTGTGCATTGCCTATATGTGTCTCTAACCAAAATTAGTATATTAGCTTTTTACCATTGGCTTTTTTATCCTTTGGAATAACTTTTGATACTAAGAACAACTGACAAAATATAACTTCAAGGAAGATCATCCCCCAGACTCTTGATACCATTACCCGACTGTGTATTCAACATTCTATCTGAAGTTGAACTAAAATCAGTCACTATCATATAATCATATCAGTATTATGTATATTTTTTATTGTGATTTAATAATTTCAATCAAAATATTCATTTTCTTCACAATATTAGTTGTTGCTTTGTTCAAAATATTATTAGAGAACCATGTGGAAATTAATCAACCAAAGATATTCTGGCACATTTGTGGAAAAGTGCAAAATTAAACAAGGACAGACCATTTTATATTAAGGTATTTCAAGTTGTAATGTAACAATAGATTTAGTTACTTATATCATACCTTAAAAAAGTGGACTCCTCATGTTTATTTTTAGAATCATACTCTAAATGTGCTCAATAACTTTGACTCACTATACCTTAATGAGATTTTAAATTTTGGAAAAATATATCTGATAATGATATGAAAATATCTTTTGAATTTGCAATTTATGAAAAATTGATGATTATGAAATTTATCAAAGTTATAGACTCGTACATGTCAAAATGATTCTGGCTTTGTTACATACACCAGTGATGTAAATTACCCTGCTTTTTGTCATTTACATGGCATGGATCTCTATTTCAGTATGACAGTTTTGGGAAAATGCATGACAAATTTTATGATAAATTGAACAAATCAACACTAATAGTACTATTCTTGTCATAACTAGTAGAAAATAGTGACTGATTACTAGTAATTTGATTTAGAAGTTAATATCTTCTGATTTTATCATATGGAATAAAGTGTATATACAATGTTCATACACTTTCAAGTGTAATTTATAAAAATGTGCAATTAATATATTGCATTAACAATTGAAATACAGAGTTCTCATACCCTTTGGTTTTGTTATATCTTTATATCTCTGATTGGATGTATCGCTGCATTCTGTGAATCAAGAATATTGGGAATTGCAGTCAAGGTATAAGACAAAGTATGTAATAACTTGACATTATAAAGATGTAGATCCAGTAGATATGGACGCTGAAAGGGTATGAGAATATATAAGATAGTGGTGCTGCCTTACCCAATGTATAAATGTTTTCAATCTATATATATCTATATATATATTTTGCGGGTATATTGTTATGCATGTAGTATGAATGATAGTTGTTATTATTTTGTTGAATGGATGTTGCCATTTGGTTGTTATTTGTTTATATTATATTATGTAATTTTATTCATATTTGATTTTTCTTGATATTTGATATTATGACAAATTTCTTCTATTTTTCACAGCAAAATCAAAATTTTAAATTATTTTTTTGTTCACTATAATATACCTCATTATATTCTTATCAGCTTTAAATATCAGACTGGTGTCATGATTTATAATATTTTATTTCATTTTATTGGACAAAACATTTTCAATAAAAAATTGTTGGGACATAGTTGCTGCTTGATTATAATGATATTTTTGAATTTTAGACCAAAATAAAGAATTAAAGTTGGGTATTCCAAAGAACTCAAAATAACAGTAAATTTGTATAGTTTTAGAGGATAGCTACTTTAAAAAAAAATTAGAACAATACATTAAAAACATTTAAATTATTATCATTTGATGTAATATTTCCTCATGTGAAAAGTTCATTAGCTGCTATCTAAGTTTTGTATGTTGTTTTAGATTGCGGGTTTCATTTGTTGTTTCGATCGTTAATACTTGGTTTGTTTATGATCTAAACTTCTTTCAAAAACCAAAATTGAGGTTCATTTGATGAAAAGAATTAGCTACATGGACACATCCTTTTAATACTACTACTTGGTAACCTACATGGTTAGAAAGAGAGAAAAGCTCTAGGGAACATACAATTGTGTTATTTTTGACCTAGTGGTCAAGCTAGCCAGTCAGAGTGGCGACATTTAATATCACAATAGTTGTTTCTACATCAGTTAATAGCTCATCTGTCATGACCGACATTAGTAATTTCATTTCAATAGACTATCCTATTGTGATTTAGTCTGTCCTATTGTCATATTGGCTAAAGAATTAAATTTGCCTCTTCTTTAAGTTAAATACTTGACTTTTATCCTTAAAATCTTCACTTTTATTAAAATAAAATACAGGAAGATAGGAAACCTTTGATTTTACCGACCATTAAAGACTTGCTTTGTTCTCAGTTAACAAAGTCAACACAAATTTTCATTTTTTAATGGAAATAGCTTAATCATTGTCTGTTGTATGCAGCTTCTTAAACATTTATCAATAGTTGAAATTAAATCTTCAATCTAAATGGAGCCATGTTTAAATAGGATTCAATTTATTTAGCGACTTCTATTTCATTTTGTAGTCTGCAGTTCTATTAAAGGGATTGTAAAGAGGTTTCTAAATTTTTTATGTGAATAAGGAACACTGATAACATCAATATGTACCATTCCAATTTTCATTCAGATGTCTGTGGTTCCTGCAATTCAGCTAAAAATAAATGTTTGATGATGTTTCTAAACTTAAAGGGCCTTATGTGATAAAGCATATTTTGCGATTAGTGATGTCATTGAACACTTATTCTTAAGTGGAATTGCAGGAACCACAGACAACTGACTGAAAATTGGAATGGTTCAAATTGATGCTATCAGCGTCCCGGATACACATAAAAAACTTTATATAAACATGAACTTGTTCACTCAACTGGAAAACTATCTCACTCATTTTATGCAAGCCTCTTCCCTTTTTCCCGACACATATTCATAAATTAATTCATGCATATCCGAAAATAAACACAAAGTTTGAAATTTTGTGCAATAAATAATACACTTTTTAAAATATAAATTAAGTTATAAATTTGCATAGAAATGGGTTGGTTGCCCGACAGTCTGTGACTTTAATTTAAACAGGTTTGGCTCCAGTTGATGTATGATAAATTTATCATTTTTGTACTCTTAAAAATTCTTAACCTATTTCAAGGTAGTTGGCAGATATTTTTCATGGGTTGTGATCTGGGTTGAACTTTTTGAAAAAATATTTGGAGATTTATAGGGCATGCAGTACATTCTTAACATTTTATAACTTAGTTTAGAAATAGAAGCTATGCTCTCTAGAAACAAAACCCTTATAAAGCACATTAGAATTAAAAATTTTAACACATCAGATCAGGTTTATGTAAAGAAAATGGCATTTTGTAATCAAATCCAAATTTTGAGATATTGTAACTTCAGTAAGACAATGTAAAGATTTATTGATTTAGTCAGACTTTCTTTAAGATGACCAACCAGAGAGTGGCTATTTAAAACTATGTTTCCCCTTCAGAAAGTTGAGATTTACATCAATGGCAGGTTTATCATCCACCAAATAAAATGAATGAATATATAACTTCGCTATCACAACCAAACAATTTGAAAAAAATGGATTAGTCATCAAATTGATCATTGGGGATTAAACATCTCAATTATTATATTTTCTACTGTACATTACGATATCAATTTGAAAGAAAATGGCATTTTTAAATATTAGCCAATTGAATTTGGTTAATAATTGTTATTGCATTATGTTGTTTATGAATAATGCATTATTTTTTATTGATGCTTGATGTTGTCATATTTATGGGTTATGATTGTGGGTGTAAAATTTGATTTTTTTTAATGATAATGAGTAATAGGGCCAAATATCAAATTAAATGAAATCAAAT